GTGCTTCAATCATCTCAAGTACTGATGGAATAATCAGGTACATTGATACAGTTAAACTGATAAAGGAGGATTCTAACAGGTAAATCAAGGTGCAAATCACCTGCTGCTATGCCCTATTAGTGACAGCTAGAAAGTTCATTTCAAACAGACCTAAAATTATATTCATAATTCAAGAAATCTTTGGACAAATGAAAGCTAGCCTTTAAATATATGCATGCTGTCAAATGTTTTGAACATTATGTGTTTTAACGAGTATGTACAAGATGGTGACTTAAATCAGCCAAACAAGAAACAAAATGTTAAAATATGAAGACAAACAAAAATGGGCATGATTGTAAGGTGCATTTTCATGCATTTTTAAGTGCATTTGATTTTATTGACTTTCAAATTCAAATCATGAAAAGGAAATTGGATTAGATAAATGTTCAACTAACTGTATTGGTAACAGAAGAATGATGTTCAATGAGATATTATTAGTGTCTTGCATAAGGATTCTATGGCATTAAAAGGGATAAAATACATTTTAAGTTTCACCTAACTTGTCTACCATAGTGATAAACTGTTATTGACATGATATCATAAAATGTTATGTTAGATGACATATGAAAGGACCTCAATTGTTGCTATGGTGATTCTATTAGGTTCATAGGATAATTTTAAACTTAAATTTGATTGGGAATGGAAATAAAACAATAGACTATTTCTGTGTGTGTTTGTGTGTGTGTGTGTGTATGTGTCTTAATAGCTATTTAAGCACATTCATTGGCTATAACACGCCATAGAAATGGGAACTAAGTGCCTTTTCCAAAGATACAGTGAGGCAGACAATTTGGACTGACCTGGGTGGGTATCAAACCTCAGTCCAGTCTGACACTCACTAAATGAACTACCGTGCCTCCACAAATATAACACAGAAGGATTCAATGCAAATTTACAGATAATATCATTTCTTCACACATTTTGTTTAATAGTAAAATTAATCCAGTCTATAAAAGAAACTTGAGACCCATCAAATTTGTCCTTTATTAACAAAATATATAAAAATTGAAAACAACCATGTTAAGAAAACGTAAACAATATTAAGCATCATCTCTACTCAATCAAATTCAACTACGAACTGCACAGACCCAGACCTGAATCTATGAAGTTTGTTTGGAGAAACCAGTAAAACATATAACATAGACCCAGATCTGTATGTGCATTATTCAATGGCAGATCAGGGTCTATGTTGTTGGCAGCTGGACTTGACTTGTATGCGAGTATAAACAAAGTAAAGACAATGTGGTGAATAAAGTCAGTGATTTATTTCTGAGGTCTATACCATTCACATATTTATTTCAAATGATGTCAATGTCAGGCAAAATGAAGGACAGATGCATGAACAGATGAACAACTATACAGACAGACATGGAAAAAGTTTTATCACTCATAAGTAATGTTTGAGCATGAATGCATTTTCATTGTCCCAAGTTTATAGTACTGCCTTGCCCATGATATCAAAGGTAGATTGATGTAAGAAATTTGATGAAAACTGTCTTAAGGCAATCTGGGTATTTCTATCCACCTACCCCCACCCATGCATGCTTATTGGCAGAGACATAATCTTTTAAAAAGACAGATTATTGTGATTTGGATTAAATGGTCAGGGGACCATGTGGAATTTTACAGCACCCCACATGCTCATGAGAGGATTGGCATAATGTTTTAAAGAAGACAGTTTTCTGTGATTGGTCTAGTTGGAATAAAGTGAGAAGTCATAAAAAGATTTACTGAAACATCCTCTCTGTGTGATGAAAAAATCAATAAATAAAAGACAAAATTTACAATGTGACAGTATTCAAATATCTGATATTATGTTTGCTTTGATATTAGTACACCAAAACCTGTACAACTTGTACACTGTACAAGATACTAAGACATATATTTATGTTGGACAAATAAGGTCTCTAATTTAAATTTTTAAAACTTTCGACACCTGTAAACTTATACACAAAAGGTTTTTATTTTGTAAAGTAAAAGGGAATGCAGGGGCATAATAATACAAATGTTAATTGACAGAAGTTTACATTGTATATGAAAACTTTAATTCATAATGACAACATTCAAAAACCCATAAAGAAAAACATAATCCAAAAAGAAAACATTAATCCAAAAAGAAAATAATAATCCATAGTGAAAACATTAATCCATTTCCAAAACAAGCACACGTTTATGACCAACTGCAGTGAAAGAAAGTCAGGAATAATGACATTTATATCATTATAACATTGGAAAGTAGGTAATATTAATTTTGTACACCAAAATTGCATTTATATTTCAGTAACAAAAAAGCATTCCATTTTAATGTACTGATTTTTGAAAAATTCATTAAGAAGTATGATTACCTTATTAATTTTATCAAGAATGCTACTCTTATGAATCTATCCCAATTCTTGGCCAATTTAGACTAGAAATAACTACATCAAGATCCCAGTCATAACTGTACTAATATTCTAGTCACTGGGACAATATGAACAAGAAATAGCTAATTTGAGATGGTTGGATAATTTAAACCAGCAATAATTCTTTCAAGATCCCAGTCAATGGACAATTTAAACTAGAAACAGCTGCTGTGTCAAGATCCAAGTCAATGGACAATTTAAACTAGAAACAGCTGTGTCAAGATCCAAGTCAATAGACAATTTAAACTAGAAACAGCTGTGTCAAGATCCAAGTCAATGGACAATTTAAACTAGAAACAGCTGTGTCAAGATCCAAGTCAATAGACAATTTAAACTAGAAACAGCTGTGTCAAGATCCAAGTCAATAGACAATATAAACTAGAAACAGCTGTGTAAAGATCCAAGTCAATAGACATTTTAAACTAGAAACAGCAGTTTTATAAGCCAAAAAATGGACAATTTAAACTAGAAACAGCTGTGTCAAGATCCAAGTCAATACACAATGTAAACTAGAAACAGCTGTGTCAAGATCCAAGTCAATAGACAATTCAAACTAGAAACAGCTGTGTCAAGACCCCAGTTAATAGAGAATATAAACTAGAAACAGCTGTTTTAATGGACAATTTAAACTAGAAATAACTATCAATATTCTAGTCATTGGACAACATGAACTAGACATAGCTGTATCAATATCCCAGTCATTTTACAATTTAAACTAAAGACAGCTGTTTCAAGATCCAAGTTGATGGATATTTAAACTAGAAACAGCTGTGTCAAGATTCAAGTCAATAGACATTTTAAACTAGAAAAACCTGTATCAAGGTACTGGTGTTCTAAGTATAGAATGTCACTTTCCTGGCTCATGATAACTGGGTGCACTTGAAAAACCATATAAGATGCATGAAGTACCAGGTAAATCTCAATAGTCTGCAAGTTATGACCCAGGAGCAATGTCTGTGGTGGTTGGGATGGTCTCTGGCTGAATGTTAATTGTACATTTACCTTTGCTGGTTGATTGGTTTACTGCCACTTTAACATATTATTGTTATACAGTGGAACTGGAAGCTAAGTGCTTTTGCAAGGGTTTGCTAAAGCAGCTGAGACTGGCTGGCCTGCGAAGGTATTGAACCTGTATCAACTGAATTAGGAATGAGATGTTCTACCTTGTGAGCTACCATTGTTCCCATGTCTTTTCATGCCTAGAAAAATGTATTTGGTTTTAGGCTGTCGATCTCAAAAGTTTCCATGAGTCCAGGAGTTATGTCCCTGATGGCAGTATGAACTACAAGGTCACTATCAGCTGTATGTCTGAATTTATCCTTTTATTCCAAGTAAGTATACATTAGGTTTAATATGTGGGGATCTCAACAGTTTTTCTTTAATATTTATTTAGTACATACACTTATCATTCTCATTATTATTTTTTTAGTAAATTACACTTATCATTCTCATTAATATTTTTTTAGTACATACACTTATCATTCTCATTAATATTTATTTTGTACATTACACTTATTCTCATTAATATTTATTTAGTACATTACACTTATCATTCTCATTAATATTTATTTAGTACATTACACTTATTCTCATTAATATTTATTTAGTACATTACACATATCATTCTCATTAATATTTATTTAGTACACACACTCTCAACTGAGAATATACCCCATTTTTAAACTTCTTTACACTCAAAATGAATTATCTTTGTGTGAGAAAGCAATGGATCATGGCATCAGTCAAATAGTGTATTTTTAAATTTTTTTATAACTAATATGATAGCACTAATAGCACTTACAAAATCAAAACTGCATAAGATTTTAACAAAATTTATCTTATATTTTAAGAATTTATCCAACCACCCCCCAAAAAGGTGTGTGATAGCTTTCTATTTACTTTTAGTCTTTTTGTGAACACAAGGAAAATAATTCATACAAGGGAAATAAATCTCCAATCTCAAAAATTGAACATCAAAACAGCTGAATTATTAAAATTAACAAACCAACCAAAATTATTTTAGAGAGCCACACTATACTATAATTCCCTGTATAAGCAATGATTCATCACTATAGAGCTATTTTAGAGATCCATAATAGACCATAATTACCTCTATAAGCAATGATTTATTACTATAGAACTATTTTAGAGTTCCATAATACACCACATTTACATCTATAAGCAGTGATTCATCACTATAGAGCTATTTTAGAGATCCATAATACACCATAATTACATCTATAAGCAGTGATTCATCACTATAAAGCTATTTTAGAGATCCATAATACACCATAATTACATATATAAGCAATGATCCATCACTAAAAAGCTATTTTAGAGATCCATAATACACCATAATTACATCTATAAGCAGTGATTCATCACTATTGAGCTATTTTAGAGATCCATAATACACCATAATTACATCTATAAGCAGTGATTCATCACTATAGAGCTATTTTAGAGATCCATAATACACCATAATTAACTCTATAAACAATGATTCATCACTATAGAGCCATTTTGGAAAGCTATAATACATCACAATTACCTTTATAAGCCATGGTAGCTCACATGGTAGAGCATCTAACTCCTAATTCAATGGTTACAGGTTCAATACCTGCCCAAGCCAGCCTGTCTCAGCTGTTTCAGTATACCCTTACAAGAGGGACTTAGCTCCCAATTCCACTGGATGATATAGTCAAAAATACATTAAAAGTGGAAAAACCAACCAACAAGCAAAGGTATACATACAACTGACACTGAGCCAGGGTCCATCCCAGCCCCTACAGATATTGCCCTTGGGTCATAACTTGGAAAGAAATGAGATCTACCTGGTACTTCATGCTTCTTATATGTTTTTTTTTTTTCAAATGCACCAAGTTATAGCATACAGTAATGAACAACTGACTACAAACACATGACTACAAACAACAAAGACCTTGACCTGCACCATGCATTAGAGGATTCTAAGCTATTAACATGAATTACTAAGTATAACAACCAATGAAGACCCTGACCTGCATGCTCATCATGGGAGAGTAGATCTTAGTCTATACTTTTTGCAGTTGGATTAGTGTCAAACATGAATAAATGTGGTATGGTAGTGAGGCCATCTCTCACACTTGAATGTCTAGTTGATGTTGTGATTCACACCTTGACCTACATGGTACAATATCAAGGTGAAAGAGATTTAGTTCTTTTTACCTGTGAATGATGGAACCCCTCTGAAATGTCACAATCAATGTCTTTACATCATTTCACCTCAATTCATAAAACGGAAGTAGGAGTCAACTTCCTTGGGGGATTTCCTGTTCTCTCAGGGCACAACCATTAACTGTCAAAAATTATAAAAAAAAGATCAGATAAAGAAGTAATGGTTTTTAAATGACAAAGAGAGATTGGAAGTCCATTTTAATTAGAATCAGCTAGTGCAAATACAAATTTTCAATGTCAGCAGTGTCCACATGTATAATGAAGAAAAGCACTAATTGGCTGTAGTTTGACATTGTAAATGAAACTCTTATAGAAACTTTAGTCAAGTTGTTGTTTTTGTTTTGAGTTTAATGTCTTTTTTTAGTGCATGATAGGATATACATGTTAGTGGAGGAAGAACCTGGAAAATTCTGTTAAGTGTGTGTGCGTGTGATTTAGATTTTTAACATAGCTTTTAACAATTTTTCAGTCATATCACTCCGCTGTCTGCAGTGTGACAGTTTATAGTGATGTCTAGCACTGTGGCATCATGCCACAGAGATGTAGCATGCTGTCACACCAAGGCACATTATCCTTATACCAGGCCAACCAGTCCTAACACTAACCTCGTATTGCTGAGTGTTAAGTGAGGCAGCTGTTAGTACCATTTTTTAAAGTCTTTGGTATGACTTGGCCTGGGTTTGAACCCATGACCTGTAGCAACCGAGGTGGATACTCTAACCACTTGGCCACCGGAGTGTTTTAAATTCTGTTAAGAAGCTGCTGGCAAGTTTTCTCACATATACACACTGGCTGAACCAGAGACCTGAACCCCTATGTACAGAGGTGAAATGACAGTCGGTAAAGGCGAGTGCTTTAGACTACTTGTCCCCTGGGTTTCCAGCTTCGTTTAAGTATATGGCTGCAGAATTTACACATGAAAAAAATACAGTTTACTACCTATAAATATTTACAAAATCATTAACATGTAAACACACATGTGACAGTCATGATGCTGACTACCCATTCAGATAAGATTAAACATTTCTACATGTCTTCTTTAGAGGACTGTTTAGTAGGATTTTTCTATTAATTCTTTTTGTATATACTTAAGCATATATCTATTATTTACACAATAGATGACAAGAATTAATTACAGTGTACATTATACAAATTTAAACATTGGATTGATTTAGTGTTAATACTGAGAATGTAAAAAATCTAAACAACAGTATTTATCTTCATACAAAATGTTTTAACATAAACTTTGATTAGTAACATTGTACTTTTTAAAATAAAAACAAGTTTCAAGTTTATAAGTTACTGCACAGTTTTGTAGACCTTATAGAACCTTTGAAATTGTACAGTGTGAAAGTCCAGGTTCCACATTCGGGTCTGTTACCAATTTTTTTCATCTTGTACATGTATGTAACAGCAGAAAACAATATCATGTGAATCAAAAATACATTTTGTCAAATTGTCCAAAACATACTTTGAATCTAATCATAATTAGTGGTAAAAGATATACTGTGATTGAATGACTGCAAGCCAAGTATGGCATTTAGATTATAATGACCCTCAGATATTCAGTAGACCTAGTGAGTAGCTTCAGAATAGGTGGAGTTTCTATTCATTTTTATTAAATGGATTATCTGGTTTTTGTAAACCATTAACATTTTCTAAAAGCTTTAGTAAATGTTACAGCCATACATATATACTTATTCTATTTTTTGTGTGCAAAAGTTAATTGTCTCTGTATCTTTATGTATCGCCATAGTCTTATGAATTCCAGAGTAAAACAATTCATTAAGTGACATAAGATAATTAAGTGACACAAGATAATTTTAAACACAGCAATATGCTAAATAATGACAAGATTTCACATTGCTAAATATATGAAAATTTCTTTTTTCTCCTTTTGCAAGATCCTCGGTGTTTAATTATGATTCTGGAATTTCAATTACAAGAGTGATTTTTAATAATTATATTGCAAAATGGCTGTGAATAAGGTATCGGCAGTTTAGGATATGATTTGCTTCTATTGTAAATTATTTATGTAAATTCAAGTCCATACCAGTATGTCTTTTATGACTATCAGCTATGACTAAAATTTTCATTTTAATCATTAAAATAATGATTTATAGCATTCTGAATGGCACGAGTAAACAGCAGTGCATTCGATTCACACGCTTCTGAAATTTAAAGCTAGACTTATCTCAAATGTGTAACAATTAGTGGTATATAATTGAGCAATTTTCATCACTTCTGTCAGCACTAATCTATTGGCTGGCAATAATTGACCAAATATCACAGGCTTTTAACTGAATTCTATCAAAGACAGGCATCTACCATACCTATCTGTGTATAATTTTGAAAAACACTGCACCCAGCACAGACCCCAAACTGTCTGAGTGTGATATGTTCAAGATTATAAATGAAAGAAACAATGAAGACCCTGAACTGCTAGTTAGTTATGTGATGAAAGAGCCGGGTCTTCCTATTACAAATATTGGATACCTTTAATATTTTATCACCCTAATTGTAATCAATTCTGCTTGACTCCAAAAATATGAGAAAAACTAGAAATCTTTCTAAAGCTAATCAAGACTTTTCTAACATAATGTCTTTATTTAGGAAAATCTGAGATGAAGAACAAACCGACTTGAAGTGGTTTCCAAATTGTGCATTTGAACAATCCATACGGTAATTGTTGCACTGCCAGTAATGCTGCTGTTAATTAGCCACCAATTATGAGAAAATGTGAAAGCTTGATTACACCAATCCATAAATGCAGTGAAGTGGGTAATATTTAAAAGCAAAAAAGAAAGAAAAAAAGGTTCTAATAAAAACTGTCTGGAATATGTGGCAAATCAAACAAGGATTTTCAAAACACGAACTTCTGATTAGCATCTGCATTAAAAATGGCAACTCTGCTTATCATTCATTTTACAGAGGATATAAATAAAACTGTCACCATAAGAAAAAAAAGGATTGGTACTTGGGTAAGAAAAATAACATACATTTTTTATTTGTATTTAGAATGTGACCACATCAAAATATACACTTAAATCTTTAGGACTTGTTGACACCTGTGATCAATTAACTTAAGAAACAGAATTGTTTAAAATAAACAAAATGTTTTAACAAGATATTACTTTTTATAAAATTAATATAATTTTTAATGCATTTTTAAAATTAAACAGAGTATAAAACTCCTACTTGTATTTTTCAAATTGTAATTAAGGCACATATTTTTAAGTTTAATACAATACTCTACTTTTATCCTGAAAATATATGCAAGCAAAGATACTGTTTTTACCGGTGCACATTACACACCCATTGCAAACGCAAATAGTGTAGACCTACCAAATGTACTTGCTTATAAGACAAGTATAACTGGAAACTGCACAGACCCAGATCTGCTGTTGCATATTATGCTGGCAGATCTGGGTCTGTGCTGTTTGTTAGGAGTAATCAATAGAACAAACCAAACAGAGCCTGATATGCTGATGCATTATGTGTCACAGAGAAATAACTTGGTTTTGCCTTAGATCCATTTTTCACCTATAGTCCTTGTGCAGTCATACAAGGTGAGTCCTTGTTCCTCCAGATGAGTGATTCTAAAACTGCATGCAATGAGAGTCACGAAAGGCATGGTATACATGAGCATTTGACCATGACTATTGTTAACTCTCCTATGGATTTAAGCTTGATTAATTTCAAACAGAGACACAGATCATTTGGATTTTGTCAGGGAGTGAACATTCTCCATTATGTTATCTGGTCATAGGGATAAGTGTTAAATTTATATTTTATTTCATTTACAAAACCTATTCTTATTTTTATGTCATATCAAGTAATAAAGCCTTTTACATTGCAAACTTTGCTATTAGAGTTTATTTATGAGTATATATTTAGCAATTTAATTCAGAATCCCTTATTATTATCAATTTGGTTTTATTGAAGCTGTTTAGGGCTGACAGTAGCTGTTTAGTGGTGGGTATAGCTGTCCATAGAGTGGCATGCTGTCTGTTTAGAGCTGAGGGTAGCTGTCTACAGAATGATGTGTCTATCCATATGTATGAGTATCCCTATTTCAGGGTTGGCCATAGCTATCCATAGTGCAGGGTGCTGTCTGTATGTATATGTATATGGAAGACTATACATGTTTTGGAACCATGAATATAGACGTAACCAATACAAGGGTGCTGGGTGCCTTCTGTATGTATAAGTACTTGTAGTGGATTCAGATGGGTGTGAACAGTCGATAAATGTGGGATAATCCAAGGATCCAGTGAAACTGTGTGGTGTAACAGTTTGTGAATTGTAATACCGTTCAAGATTTACAGTGATATGCTTGTTTCAACTGATTGTGGTTTCAATTGAGTACAATATTGTTTGCATTACATCAGATTATGTGAATAATTGCTTTCATTG